ACCTGACCCCAAAGAATGTACTTTAACACCCTTCACCCTCATGCCTACTTTGTTCTAGAACCTGTGCTGGGCACCAGGCACACATTCGTAAATGACACAGAACACTCTCTGCTCTCCCAGGTCTAATGTGAGTCTAAGTTTTCACAAGTCCTGGTGCAGTCACTAGTTGTCTAAGTCCTAACTGGCATTTCCACTAACAACTAGCATTGCTTGTGTGTTGTCCAGGTAACATATTTTTGTGCACTTTCCAAAGCTTGGAGGGGAAAGACACTTAGTGAGTTGCTTAATGCAGAGCTCTGGTACCTCTCTGCAATATCAGCATCAGCAGCCCCTGTCACCAGTATCAACATACAAAACCCAGTTTGGAAGGAGCCGGAAGAGAGTTCCACCCTTCAATATACCTCCTAGGACAAGTCAGCTTCACTCACCCACTTACTCACTTGCTCACTCACTCACAGGAAGTCTCAGGACCAACCTGGAACTCCCCAAATTCCTTCAAGAGTGATGGTTAAGGCCTGGAGGGATTTGTTCCTAGAACCAGTGATTAAGAGGTAGCCAGAATTTTGGAAGTGTTTCTCAGCCCCATTAGTTTTGTGCCTGTATTCTTTGCCTCGTGGGCAACTTCTTGTCCTAGATAGGTTCTCATTTCCTCTCTTGCATTTTCTGCTTAACAGTGTTCTCCACAAACACAAAAGTGCATTTCCACAACAGTGGAAGTCTTATAAGAGATAAGGTGACTTATCTATGTATTGGTTAGTTGTGAACTAAGAATTGCTAGTCCCCAACAGCTGGAGATAGCTTTCAAAAAGCAGAAGTGAATATCAAGTATCATTTCACTGAGCTTGATAGAAGTGAGTGGAATATTTGGTCCAGATTTTCTCTAATACTGTCATTCAGAACTGAACTATCCCCACAGACAAAAAGTCCAAGTTAAAATTCATTAAATGGATAAAAAAAATGAAGCTGAATGTGAATTAGCAGAGCCACAAAGTACAGAATCAAGCTACCAAGACCAAGGCAATGAAATTTTCAGATACCGAATCCAAAATTAGTATCAAGCAGAAACAGTGAAAAGACATCTGTAGCTCAATAAATTTATCATTATTGCATAAACTGCAGAGCACCAAAGACAGGAAGTTCTAAAAGCAATAGATACCAATGTCAGATTTTTACAGCTCAGCAATAGTTCAACTGACAGCTGACCTCTCAATACCAACATGGAAGTCAGAAGACAATGGAATAATATGAGGAAAATGTATAACTCAGTGGGAATCTATCTTGAAGTGCTAGAGAAAGTAATTTGTCAGGAAAAAATTTTTGTGAAAATACTGTACAGAGGGGTTACAATTACATGGGCAAGATAATGAGTACATTTCTTATCAAGCATTGTAGCCTCCTCCTTTGTTTCCCTTTCCCATCCCTTCCCATCCTCCCCCTGCCCCACCACCCAATCCTCCTCCCCCCTCCCCCCCACCAAAGTTGTAAAGTTCGTTTTCAACATGACTTGTACATCTCATTGTTGCAATGGGTCCACCTGTATCCCTATTTAAACGATTTGTTTTTTCCTTTCCCCTCCACAAATTATACCAACATCAAATACAGTGAAAGCAGGGTTATACTGTGGGGGAGGGACATACAAAGCAACAAAGAAATAATCTTATAATTGTGTTAGAAACAATCACATGAAAGAAAAAAAAACATTTGAATACATATCTTAGGGTTCACTTCCCTAACATCAACTTATCTGACCTTTTCTGCTTGATGTCAGGAAAAAAATTAAGGACACTTTTCCAACCAATCAAACTGCCTGTCATCAATTGGCATTCACTAAATAGGCAACTAAAGAAAGATATTACTGAAAGGAAAGCCTGAGGCACACGAATATCTTTGTGACTTAAGACTGGGAGGAATCTCTTTCTGTTTACTGGAGCTCATTTTGATACATATTATTTTATATGATCAGAGGTACATAGGCATCACACTTTTGTGTTCCTCTCCTAAGAAGAAAGAATTTCTTAAACTTTAAAATAATGGGGGAAAACACTGACCTATTTGACTATATTCCTAAGAAGAAAGAATTTCTTAAACTTTAAAATAATGAGGGAAAACACTGACCTATTTGACTACATTAATAAGGACTTGGTTTATTAAAAGCCACCATAAAATATGTGAGACAGATGCTAGCAGAATATTTTTGCAAAATGTGTAATAGCCAATGATATCCACACTGTCAGAAAGAATTCTATAACCCAATAAGAAAAAGAAAAACCTATAAAAATGTATAACCAATAGAAATAGCTAAAATTTTACAGAGGAGGAAATATAAATGGTTAGCAAATATACCAAAAAAGCTACATCTCATTAGCAATCCTTAAAGTTAAAACCTAATTAGACATTAAAAACTCCAAGAAATCTATCCAACTAAAACAAAAGTTCCCCCTAGAACAAATAAGTTTAACAAACTTCAGGATACAATGTCAACATATTAAAAATAAACTTAGGTTTATCTATTATCAATGAGCAATTACGAGATTAAGTTTTTTAAACAGCAGTACCATTTAAAATAAAATACATAGACAAAAAATATAACAAAATGTATATACCTATCATATGCCAAAAAATTACAAAACATTGATAATAGACATGAAAGACTATCTTTGACATACCATGAGAGACATACTATGTTCATAGTCTGGAAGATTCATTGTAAAATGTCATTACTGACCTAAAGATTAAACACAATAAAAAAAATCCCAATCGATAGTGTACGGAAATTGATTCTAAAATTTCTGAAGAAAGTCAACAAAACCAGGGATAGTTATCAGTAAGGGGAACTACCTCTGTAGAAATGTGTGGCACATGCACTGACAACTCTATCTATCTATCTATCTATCTATCTATCTATCTGATTGTGGAGCTTGAACCCAGGGCCTGCTCCATCTCCTTGAGCTTTTTTGCTCAAGGCTAGAGCGCTACCCCTTTGAGCCACAGCTCCACTTCTGGTTTTTGATTAGTTAATTGGAAAAGGAGAGTCTCATGGAGTTTCTTGCCTATGCTGGCTTCAAACCATGAGGCTTCTCAGTCTCCTGAGTAGCTAGGATTATAGGTATGAGCCACCAGCACTCAGTGACAACTCTTGTTTACTCTAGTTTTATAGAAATGTTTAAAATCTCCAAGTCACGAACATGGGAGTCATCCTTGAGTCCTCCCAGCATTATCAAAACTTTCCAGTCATCTTACAATTGACAGGCTCTACTTTTTTCAATAACTTTTCTGGCAATACTGAGATCTGAACTCAGGGGCCTCACACTTTGTATTTTGCTTACTCAGCTGTACTCTGAGCAATGCCTCAGGCCCAGATTCTTATTGGTCATTTTGTAGATGGAGTGAGGACTTTTCTGTAATGGCTACATTGAACTGTAATCCTTTAGGTTTTAGGTTCCCGAGTAGCTAGGATTATAGGTAGAAGCTCTCAGCACCTGGCTCAAAATTATTCTATTGCTATATAACAGATGAATGAAATAGAGTACTATCATTATCCTCAGTTGCTTTTGTTACCTCAGGGTCAATCCTGCATGTCTCTCCCCCAGATGAGTCATTCTAAACAGGGTTGGGCAAGGTGGGTTCTGAAGGAATTTGGGAGAGGAAAACAAATTCAGATTCTGTACCTTTCAATATAAGGAGGTTGGGGGACAGGTCCAGGCCTGGAGAGAGCCAAGGGAGGTGCCTAGAGTGAAGTTTATGAGACATTCTCAGTCATAAAAGTGTTGAGTTAGCCCCTGCAAAGGGACTTCCAAGAAAAGATAGCTTGTAAGCAGCTGCACCTGTGGGGTTGAGGGCCACAAAAAGACCAAGTGTCCAGGAATTGAACTAAACAAGTAAACTAACTAGGAGATGGTAGGTCTGTTTTAAAGAGTCAATCTGGCTGGGTGTTGGTGTCTCATGCCTGCAACCCTAGCTACTCAAGAGGCTGAGATCTAAGGATCGTGATTCAAAGCAGCCTGGGCAGGAAAGTCTGTGAGGGTCTTATCTCCAATGAACCACCAAAAATCTGGAAGTGGAGCTGTGACTTAAATGGTAGAATGTTTACCTTGAGCACAAAAGCTCAGGGACAGTGCCCAGGCACTGAATTCAAGCCTGCCTCAGACTGGCACAAAAAAATAAAATATAAAAAAGAGAGTCAATCAGAACTCATTCTGGCTGGGGGCAATGGGTACACTGTGGCCAGAGCAATGGATTTTTCCAGAAGTTTCCCCAGTTGGGGTACTTTTCATGTTTTAAATTTAACCACTAATTCAGAATCCTCTTCCTCCTCCTCTACCTCCTCTCTTCCCCCCACCCCCCCAACTCTTCCTCCTCCTATTCTTCTCCTTCGTCTTCATCTTTGTCTTCTTGGTCGTCATCGTCGTCGTCATCCTTGTCTCTTCCTCCTGCTCTTCCTTATCCTCCTGTTCTTCCTCCTCCTCTATAATATCAGCCCTGCTTAGGCTAAGAAGATACAGCCAAACTTGGCTGAAAGCCCCTCCCATTAGCACATCTGTGTCAGCCCCTTGAATTTCCCATCAAGATCCCACTTGACTGTGATTCAAAGTCAACCACTCAAAGTCAACATTGCTCCTTTCCCAACTTCAGCTGAATTTTTGGGTTTTTGTGTGTGTATGTGTGTGTTTTTGGTCGGTCATGGGGCTTGAACTCTGGGCCTGAGCGCTGTCCCTGCACTCTTCAGCATAAGGCAAGTGCTCTACCCCTTGAGCCACAGCACCACTTCCAGTTTTTAGTGGTTTATTGGAGATAAGAGTCTCACGGACTTTCCTGCCTGGCTGGCTTTGAATCTCGATCCTCAGATCTCAGCCTCCTGAGCAAGGATTACAGGCATGAGCCACTGGCGCCCGTCTCAGCTGAATTTTTAACCAGAAGCAAAGGAGAAAAGAGATGCCCACAAAGGTAAATGTACTGTACACAAGTAAATGAAGGCCTCATTTTCTGCTGTTCTGTTTCAGGTGTTCGGGTTCTGGGTATGGATCCTGGTGGCTGCCACTCAGGTAGCAAACCCACTGCTACAAGGCTGGGTGATGTATGTGTCACTCACCTCTTTCCTCATCTCCTTGATGTTCCTCTTGTCATACTTGTTTGGATTTTACAAAAGATTTGAGTCCTGGAGAGTCCTGGTAAGAACCATACAGGCTGGGAATGTGGCTTAGTGGTAGAGTGCTTGCCTAGCGTACATGGAACCCTAGGTTCGATTCCTTCATACCACATACACAGAAAAAGCCAGAAGTGGTGCTGTGGCTCAAGTGATAGAGTGCTAGCCTTGAGCAAAAGAAGCTCAGGGACAGTGCCCAGGCCCTGAGTTCAAGTCCCAGGACTGGGGGGGCGGGGGGAGTAATAACAAAGCAGAGGAGTGGCTTCCCCCAGATGCTGGGTATTGAGGGGACAATGGGCCCTCACTGGTGGGGAGGAAGAACAGGAGCCCAGGGACTCACCCAGGCTAGACCCTATGCAGCCAAGGCTTTTGATTTTTACTATGACGATTATGAAAATATTTCTCTGCAAGAGCAATTCTTCCCTATACGCTTTTCTATTGTCTTCCCTGTTAGGAATATACAAACCTTCTTGTTCTTCCCTATACTCTTTTCTACTGTCTTCCCTGTTAGGAATTTACAAACCTTCTTGAAACGAAGAAAATTCTGAAGTTGCTGTAGAGACGCACACCTGTGTGCTTCTAGATACAAGGGAGACGGAGGCAGGAGGGTTGCTTGGGCTCAGGAGTTCTGGGCCAGCTTGGACCACAAAGCAAGAGTCTTCTTTCTTACTCAAAAATAAGAAAACAAACAAAAAACCCAAAAGGAATATTCTACTGTTCTTCTGAAATTTTATTCGTAGCAAAGTAAATCATTGGAGCAACGTTAGTAGAAAAAAAATAATCCCATCAATGGGAAGTTTTGCCACAGTCACTCTGATAAGTTCATTTTTTTCCAAAAACCATTATTTTATTGCAAAGATGCTGTACAGAGGGGTTACAGTACATGAGTAAGGTGATGAGTACAATTCTTGTTGAACATTGTTACCCCCTCCTTTGTTTTTCTTCTACTATCCCTTCCCTCCCCCACCTTCCACACTCCTCCCCCTCCCAAAGTTGTAAAGATGGTTTCCAACACAGTGTCTCATATCATTGTTGCAATGGGTCATCCTGTGTCCTTGTTTCATGATAAGCTCATTTTTCTACACACCACATAAATCTTATGCAATGAAATGCAAATTACATGGAACAAATTTGCTTTTATTTAAGATAACACCATGAATTTTTTCAGGTCATCACATCATCTTGTTAAGCATATCAAAGTGTTTTATGCTGCTAGGCACTCATGGCTCACACCTGTAATCCTAGCTACTCAGGATCTGAGGATCACAGTTCAAAGCCGTATCTCCAATTAACCACCAAAACCAAAAGGAAAAAAAAACTGGAAATGGAGTTATGGTTCATCCTTGAAGTTAAAAGCTAAGAGACAACACCTAGACTCTGAGTTCAAGCCCCACAACACACACACACACACACACACAGAATTCAAGTTTGGAAGTGGATGAGCCTCACATCCCATCTCATCTATACATTGAAACTAATAATGGCACCATTATGAAGTCAGCTCTTGAAAATTAAATAAGATGTGTGTATTGTAAGGATAGTGCACAGCACAGAGTAGGACTTCATAAAACTAATGGTTAAAAGCCTAGGCTTAGAGCACTGGTGGCTCACACCTGTAATCCTAGCTACTAAGGAGGCTGAGTAGCCTGATGGTTCAAAGCCAGCACCAGCAGACAAATCCAATAGACTCTTACATCCAGTTAACCAACAAAAAGCCAGGAGTGTGTCACCCTTGAGTGTCACCTCTGAGTGAAAAAGCCAAGCAAGAGTACAAGTCTCTGAGTTCACGCTTCAGTACTGGCACTGGTGTGTGTGTGTGTGTGTGTGCGCACGCGCACGTACACACACACACACACACACACACACACACACACAAAGATCATAAGATTTGAGCTCATGACCTGGGTGCAACTTCTACCTTGCCCATTTAGTCACTGGCTGTAACCTCGAGCTTTATTTCCTCAAATTAAGACTAGTAATAAATGCAACTGTAACAGTTGACATAAAAAAAAAGGCTTGACACAAAGCTTGGCATGGAATAAACCCTCAGTATCTGGGGCCATATCTCATATGGTAGACTGCCTACCTAGCAAATCCCCACTACCTCCTCCAACGAAAATGTTCAAATAGCAATCAGCAAATGTTAATTTGTATTGATATTATTGCTATTTATTAATCCACTATATTGCTGCTACATAAATATTTCATTCTAAACACTGGGAAAGAAGAGCAGAAGCTGGATTTGGAGGTTGCTTCTTTTCCCATTCTTGGAGTAATGGTGGCTGTTCTGCTCTCGGTCCCCAGGACAGCCTCTACCACGGGACCACGGGCATCCTGTACATGAGTGCTGCTGTCCTGCAAGTACACGCCACAATCGTTTCTGAATACAAGGACCTGAAAAACTACTACATCAACACAGCGGCCTCGGTGAGTGAGCAGGGACAGCCACAGTTGTAGCTAGAAGACATTTCTTACATGAGGTTTCATTCTGCCCAGTGCAATGCACACTGCCCTGAGTCCTCAAGCTGCAAGGGTGTGGAGGAGGGGGCCTGTGTGTGTGTGTGTGTGTGTGTGTGTGTGTGTGTGTGTGTGTGTGTAAATGCATGTGTCCAAAGTCAAGCCTATCTCTTGCCTCCTGTTTATCCAAACTAGCCTGGTTCTCTCTTACATTCAGTATTCAGAATTACTTTTTTTCTTCAAAACACAAATTGGAGTACACCTCCCTCCCACAGAGAGTCCTTCAATGGCTTCCACTGCTCTGAAAGAGACTCAACTGTTCTGTTTCTTTTATTTCAGTGACAGACATTCATGGGGGTGACGGTGTTAGCTGACAGAAGCAAAAGCAAGGTCCCACTAAACGATGAGAAGAACAGGATTCTAGGGCTTTGGCCCACGGAGGCCCTTCTGGGCCCTGGCACTTTCTCCTGCTGTGGAATGGCGCCCTCTGGTGACAACAAGCACACAGGAGCAGAGGGCGCCTCAGCAGGCCCTGACCTTCATTAGCCCTTGAAGAAAACTTCCCAGGCAGGACTCTGAATACATAGACTTGCTCATTCATGCTCAGCTTTAGCTGGGATGCCTGCATCTCAGGATCAGAGTAGCCTCATGCTTGTTCTGCTCTTCCTCAAGTGATGTCTCATAACCAAGGCCTTTCTAGATGGCCTACCTCAGCATTCCCATTACCCTCCATCTGCTGACCTTGCCTGTATTCTGCCTCCTGTTGTTAAAATGCAAGCTCTGTGAGGCAGGATTTTTTTTCCTTTCCTTTTTTGAGACAAAGTCCCACTATGTAGTCCGAGCTGGTTTACATAGTGCCTCAGCCTCCCCAGTGCTAAGATTCCAGGCATGTACCACCATAGCTGGCAGAAAGGCAGAAAGTTTTAAATCTCTTCCCACTGTTAAAGCAATAGTTCTTGGTGGTTTGGGGATTTTTTGTTTGCTTTTGTTCTACTGGTACTGGTTTTTTTTTTTGGGGGGGGGGGTCCGGTCGTGGGGCTTGAACTCTGGACCTGGGCGCTGTCCCTCAGCTCTTCAGCTCAAGGCTAGCGCTCTACCACTTGAGCCACAGCCCCACTTCCGGCTTTTTTCTTTTTGCTTATGTGGTGCTGAGGAATCGAACTCAGGGCCTCAGGCATGCAAGGCAAGCACTCTACCACTGAGCCACCTTCCCAGCCCCTGGTACTGGGTTTTAACTCAGTGCCTTGTATTTGCTAGATAGGCACTCTACCACTCTAGCCGTGTCCCAGCCTTCTGTACTTTAGGCTACTTTTCACACTAGATCTCTCACTTTTGCCTAGTTCAGACTCAGACCTGAACTCCTCCTCTCTATGCTTCTTCTGTAGCACAGATTACAGATGTGAATTACCTATCTTAAGTTTATTTGTTGATATGGAGTCCCACTAACTTTTGCCCCAGCTGTCCTCAATTTTCAGTTCTTCTGCTCTCCACCTTCTGAGTAGCTGGAATTATAGGAGTGAACCAAAATACATGGTGCAATAATTATTCTTAAAGTATAGCAGGTGCTTAAAAAATACTGTATGGATGGATGGATGGATGGATGGATGGATGGATGGAGAATGTGAATGCCAGCCAGGGTGGAAGACATGTCACAGGTGATGACCTCTGCCCTTAGAGGAGAGAAGAGCCATTGTGTGGCTTGGCCATGGTATGAGGTATGGTGGGAGGAGCAGAGGGATTGCAGGCTTATGGCATGGTAGTTGGATAAGATGAGAATCCTGGGGCCTGCTGAGCTTGGAGGCTTGAGAAGGATGTGGACTGAGAATGCAGGGGATAAGCATTTCCAGGAGAGTACAGTAGCTGACCAATTATCTGCCTAGGCAGAGGACACAGAGGCAGGGTCAGGCCAGACAGACTCCTATAGGCTGGGGCCACTTGGGTAGAACAGACACTGGCATTAACCCTCCCTGACACTATCATCTTCTTCCAGTTCTTTGCATTCATCACTACCCTGCTCTACATTCTCCACGCCTTCAGCATCTACTACCACTGAAGCCTGGGTGGCGCCAGTGAGAAAGCCCTGGTCATCCCCTCCCCCAACGCAGGTTTTATCAGGAGCCATCTGCATGACCGACAGACCTCCACTGGAACACGGGCGCCACAGACCATCTTTCTGGACTATTCAATGAGATCTGCTTTGACAACTTCCTTCAGTGAACACAAGAATCCTGTCTTCTTTTATTTCCTGGGAAAGTGTGTGTCTCTCAGACTTTTCTGACCATGAGCCTAGCGCTTCTAGAAGTCTAACCTCCAAACCACAGTAGAGAATCCCAGCTTAGCTGTTGCTGCACCTGTCCAGGGATTTCGCCCCAGCACTGGGGCTCTCTGGCGTAGGGTGAGGGGACAGTTGGGTCTTTTCTTCTATTTTTTTCATTTTGATAAATATTATTTTATACATGATCAGAGGCACATAGATATTGCGCCTTTGTGTGCTTCCTCTAAAGGGTCTTATTTTCTTATAGTTGAAAGGCACCATGGAGGACTTTGTATCTAATGTTTTGAGCCCTCCTAACCCTCGCATTAGTATCCAAGGGAAATCTACATAAGCCAACTTTGCTATGGGTTTTGCAAGATGATTATTCAATAAGCCATGAGGGAGATGAGACGGGATTGGGAGGGAGGAGCGTAGCCTGTAGCTGCTGCTATGCGAAAACCATAGCTGCAGTGCACCTGCACCAGGTGTCCAAGACCCACCTCCTAAGGGCTAAATACTAGACCCTGCCTTGACCCGCCCCCACCCCCCCAGAGAAGAGACCCCAGTGCAAAAGGCAAGGTTCCTCTTCTGTGGCCCCTGCCAGGGCCATGTGGGAAGAATAAGCTGCCCCATTATCTCAGGGGCAACAAAGAGCTCCTTCCCTGGGACCATGTTTTTCTGCATGCATCCTGGGGACTCCTTGGGTGAGGCCAAAGATCAACAGGGCTCCTCAGGATCTGACAAGGAAATGCTTTTGCATTTGGAGGCCATTCTGCAAGAAAGCACGGCCTTGTGCACACAGAAAAGCCAAATCAAGGTGCTTAGTTTCAAAGGAAATGTCCTTCCACGGCCAGCTGCACGCTCTGGCCTCCCTCCTCCACCTGGGTCCCCAGGCCCAGCAGGCAGGGATCCAGCCCTGCGACACCCGCGCCTGCTCTTGCTTTGAAATAAATTATTGTGTGAAAGGGACTGGTCTTCCTGATTCTAGGTTTACTGTTCTCTATCATCTTTTCTCCACTCCTGGGCAAGGGTGGGGGGCATGTGAGAAGTTGGACATCCTTCAGGAGTTACCTAGGAGAAGACTCCATTACTTCACCATTGTTTACTAGTCCGTTTCTTATTGCCCTGATGTCATAACAAGCCACCGTTTAGCTCTCCTTTTGTTGTCTGGCAGCTGTCTATGATGGTCACTGCTCAACATTTACTGAGTGGCCACATGCAAATAAAAGTCTTTTGTACCACAGAGACTGCCTAATCGGTTGCTTTCATACTGTTGGCATCGCACGTCACGCTAGGTGCAGGCATCGGTGTTACCAGCACCACCCTTAGAAGGATTTTTAGCCCTGAAGCCTGAGTTCCATGTGGGCAGGAATACAAACCTTGCTTCTAAGGTGGCAGCCAGGAGAAGCTGTGTGCCTTTGGTGCTGGCTTTGTAGTGTTAGTATTTGGGGGCAGATTCCAAAAATCAAACTCACAACTAATGTTGCCAAGGCTGGGAGAGGAAGAGGGGTGGCTGAGCGCTTGCACGGGTCTCAGCCTCTCATGCTGCTCCCTCCACCTCCTAGGCCCTGAGAATCACCAGCCCCCATCCACTGCACAAGCCCCTCACCTGAGTCAGACATCCTAAATTCACTGCTGCTTCCTCCCAGGCCCCCTCAGCGGCTTCTCCCACAAGGGGGCACTGTAACATGGAAACACCAAGGGTTTCCCACACCCAAGTCCTGTGTAATGATAGATTGGCTTTGGGGAAAAGGTAGACTAAGACATTCCCCAGCATTCTTGAGAACCTCATGTGTGCTGGGTACTGGGGACATTGTGAGCTGGGATGCAGGATCCATGAGCCACACCCAGTGGTCTGTACCAAACAAGCCACCTGCAGGTTCCAATCAGCCTCAGCCAGGGCAGCCAGTGACTCTTGAACCAATAACCAGGCTATATGATCTTTATAAAATAGGAGAAATGTATTAAAATTTGAAGGTGACCTTCTAATCTCCACGATTGGCATTAGGTCTAAAAATACCCCAACCCACAGAATGTTGGTCCCCCATCTCTTGCCTCCAAATCTGACCTTCCCGTCAGAAACATCACATCTCAGCAAAAACGTAGACGCTTAGATGTGGAGGGTCATGTGCATGCCCTTGTTCAAAGGATGGAGCAGGAGGAGGATCTCACCGATTTCTCACCAGTGTGCAGAGCTCAGATCCCAAGCTGGGATCATCTCTGTGGATCATCCACCCCCAATCAAGCCAGATTCACAGCACAACACCTTCCCATAACCTCCTGAGATTCATGACTGGCAGGTGAGAGGATGTTTGCATGATGCTGGACCACACAGCTCAGCGGCTTGACTGCTGTGAACATTTGCTGACTGGGTGGCCCAGGGCCACATTGGGTTGGGGTTTATCCCAATTTACAAGCGTGGGATGGGCTTCTAAACCCCTCTGTTTCCCATGGGCAGATGGGTTTTTAAAAAGCAGGAATGTTGGAGTCAGCAGCAAACAAAACAAGACAAAACAAAACAAAAACCTTGTGGTGAGTCAGATCCTGCAAAGGGCTCCCAGAAGCACAGAATTTTCTATACCCACATCTAGAGCCTCCATTCCCTAGAAGGCCACACAATCTGACTCTGTCTCTTATTCACCTCTTTGACTCTTTCTGAATTTCTGAGTCCTACCATGGATCCCGCCATGGTCCAACCTGCCCTAAAGCCTTAGACTGCACTTTGCTGGAGCTCTGTGGGTATCTCTGGCCATCTGTTCTCTCTCTGAAATGCCTTGCCTGTCACACACCCCAGGAGTTCCATCCCCACTCCTCAACCCTGCCTGCCTTGCTTCCAACCTTAGCTCTGTCCACTTGTCCCCATCCCTGCTGGGCCCAGTGTTAATTCCCCCTTCCCAGTCCCCCTGCCAACATCTCTCTGTTACAGACACTACACAGAGGTCTCACATTCTCTCTGCATGGAGGAGAGCCTGTCCAAAATTCACATCCAGAAAGCAGATCATCCAGACTCAAGTCAAAGCTAACACCCAACCCCCTCTGTTTCTCCACAGTTTTCTGGTCTCAGCCCTTAGCTGAAAGGAAAATCCTTCAAAGCCAGAGTTTTCAAAGCACAAGAAACAAAATATGTCTCTAAACCTATAGAGCATTGTATTGAGAACTCCCCAATTCCCCCAGATCACACAGTCTTTGGCACCCAGCAGTCTGTGCTCTGGGTTGATCAATTAATTAAATGTCTGGTTTTATGCCCTGGCTTTGATTCTGTGTGTGTGTGTCTATGCGTGTGTGTGCGTGTGTGTGTGCGTGTGTGTGTGTGTGTGAGAGAGAGAGAGAGAGAGAGTGCAAGGGGAAAGAACACAAGTTTATGGCTTTAAAGTATCTAGGATTTCTGTGACACTCACTTCTGATTACTTTGCTAACACAATCTAAAATGACCAAAGGCAGCTTTGTGCCCAGCCCCCAACCCTTGTAGTTGGGCTCAATTCTGAATTCTGACAACAGAGAGAAACTAAGACTCGCTGGGCTAGAATTGAACCTTGGTCTTCAGATCTCAGCCTTCTGCGTAGCTAGGATTACAGGCATGAGCCACTAGTGCCTGGCAGGATACATTCTTGTAAGAGAAGGAAGAAAGCTCTGTGGGTCCTGTGGGACGTGGGGGCAGGGTTCTGCAAGAAGGCAAGCTTGAACATGAACTTCTGGCCTCCAGAGCTGTAAGCCATAAATATCGGTGGTTTAAACAACCTCTTCTATAATGTTTTATGACAAGAACTTGGACAGGGGCAGGAGGTTTATACAAAGGTGCACTGAGAGAGGAAAGATGTGTGTGCACTAGGAGTGACAGTCTATGAAGTCCTTATTACTTGCAAGTCTGAGGTGTCAGGATCCCACAGGCGAGGTTCTTCTGCACTGACAGGGAACACCCCACTCCATGAAAACCATGGAATACTTTGACTTCTGACTTAAGACTTTTTTTTTAAGTCAGAGTCTTTTCATGTATTGTAGGCTGGCCTCAAACTCATAATCCTCCTACCTCAGCCTCACAAGTGATGGGCTTACAAGTGAGCACTAGCAAGCCCAGCAGATCTAAGACTTTGAAGGGTGCTTAATTCAGGAACCTGACTGAAGCAAGCCAGGAGCCTGGTCAATAGAACTCTGTTCAGTTACTGGAGATATCCACTAGGTGGCACCTGAGTTCCACTCGGATGCCAGAGGTTGCAGGGCATCTGGGCTCTGCCACACCCAGTCTGGGTTTTGGAGGTGTCAGAGCAAGCTTCCCTTTGCACAATAGGTGATACAGAGGTGCTCTAACCTCAAGAACCACACCTGCTACATTACACATGGGGCAACTGAGGCCAAGGACAGAATGTATCTTGACACTGATTGCAGATTGTGCCCAAGCCTTGTTTGCTCCTCTAATAAAAGCTGGAAGGTTTGCTTCTATTTCCTACACATCTGCTGAGTGTCTACTATGAGCCTCTGGCTGCCCAGAACCTAGAAGGCCAGGAGTGGTCTGAGGCATGAGCAGAGGCTCACATCTTAGAGGTGTGACTTGTAGGTCCCCCTGAAAAAAAGGGTCTCTACAAGAAATTACTAGAATGGTCAGTGGTCAACCACATTGACTGCTCTGGGCTAGAGGTTCCCCCAAGTGGTAAAAGGGACAGAGAAGAAGGGTCTAGAGGCACAGGAACAGCAAGACAGAAGCCAGGATAAGGTGACAGCAACCAGAGGCGCTGTTGCAGTGGTTCTTCTGTGGTAGAGGAGGGAGCTCCCAGGTAAAGGAGAGTTAGCAGGGAGTGGCAGGAAGTGGCAGGTCTTATGTCCACTCTGGCCATTCCAAGGAGAAGGACACTGCAGGGAGATAACCACCGCCTCTTTAGAGCTTGAGTCTTTCTCAAGATCTTATATATTTTGAAGTCCTTAAGAATTAAGAATTGCTGGTTTGAGCCAGTAGCTCATGCCTGTAATCCTATCTACTCAGGAGGCTGAGATATAAGGATTGTAGCTCAAAGCCAACCTGGGCAAGCAAAGTCCGTGAGACTCTTATCTCCAATTAACCACCAGGAAACCAGAAGTGGTGCTGTGGCTCAAGGTAGAGTGCTTGCCTTGAGCTGAAGAGCTGAGGGACAGAGCCCAGGCCCAGAGTTCAAGTTCCACCACCGAAAAAAAAAAATTGTCTTAGGCTAGTAAACAGCACCAGTCTTACTTAACAGAAAAAAACAACCGTATCTAAAATGGATCCATCTATATTTTCCTAGCACAAATAAGAGCCACAATCTTGAGCTTGACTTCTAGTTTCTGCATGGAGAGCAGGAAATGTCTCTTTCCATTTTCCCCTCCACACCTCCTATTTTTATCCTGTTATACTAAAATAAATCATTGTGAAAACTTTTTTTTAAGTTGCTAGTTTCAATTTGTATGTGTTTATTCTGAAGATGGAGTCCAGGGCCTGGAGCAAGCTAAGCATGATGTACCACTGAGCTACATCCCAGCCCATAGTCAAGTCCTCAGGTAAACATTGTCTCTTTGGCACAGGGAAATCTACTGTGAACAGATGTGGCAGGTGTAAGGTGACACTCTCACACTTTCCCAGGGAGTGAATAGAAAATTCTGTCTTTGTGTGGGTGCGTGCATGTGTGCATAAGCACACATCAGTACTAGGGCTTGAACTTGGGGACTGGGGGACTGTCCCTTACTTAGCTTTTGTTGTTCAAGGCTAGCTCCTTACTACTTGAGCCATAGCTCCACTTCTGGGTTGTCAGTGGTTTATTGGGGATTCGAGTCTCACAGATTTCCTGCCATGGCTGGCTTTGAATTGCCATCCTCAGAGTTCAGCTTCCTGAGTCACTGGGATTATAGGTATGAGCCACTACACCTAATAGCTTATAGCTTTATGTGGGAAGTCTTGGCATTTCTTACAAGAGCTAGGTTTCCTACCATTTGGATGATGCGGTGTGTGATGTGCTAGAGTAACTCCATATCATTTCATTGTGGTTCCTCTGTAAAGTTCTCTCATGTAAATACTACAAATCAAGAATAGTTGTCTAATTTTTGAAAGATAGCCTACAAAATTCACACTTATACATGTGTGCCTACAAATGCCCACATACACACATGTATGTACATAGACAGCACATACACATGGATGCATGGGAAGAAATACACACACACACACACACACACACACACACACACACACACACAAGCATGAGGGACACCCAGGGAGGAC